CACCTGTGCTCTCCTAATTTCATGTTTCAGATATAGTATAGGATCTATTGTATTTCTCCCTTTTCTGAACTGAAAATTGATATGATTTAATCTTTCCCTTCGATTCCAAAAAATATATCAATTATTCACCAATTTTTTCTATTATCTTTCCAATACAAAACATTAATGCTATTGGTCTATAACTCTCAGCTAACTGTGGATCTTTACCAGGTTTACAAATAGGAATAATGATAGATTCTTTCCATTTATCCGGCAGAATTCCTTCCTCCCATATCTTATTAAATAATTCTAATAATATCATCTTACTTTTTTCACTAAGATTTTTTAACATAATATAATTGATCTTATCAGATGTTGAATTTTTAGAATTTTTTAATGCTCTATTTAATTCTACTAGTGAAAATTTCATATTTACAATATCTTTATCCTCTTCTTCATTATGTAGCATGTTATTATAATTTTTTAATGTCCTTTTTCTTTACTACTAAGATTCTCCATGCTATGTATTTTAGTTAAAACTCTTGCTAATAATTCTGTTTTTCTTTTATTATCTATGAGCATGTTATCATTATTTTTAAGTACTGGAAAAACCTATTCTTTTGATCTACCTGACATTTTCCTGTTAGTATTCCAAACCTTGTCTAACGCAGTAGTTTTCCCCAATGACTCACAATATTTTCTCCAATAATCCCTTTTAGCATTTCTTATCGTCTTCCTGACTTCTGCTTGTCTTCTCTTATAATTTATTAGGTTTTCGAAGCAAATAGCTTTTTTAAGGGGTTTAAAAGCCTTATTCCTTAGTTTAATTGTTACTGAACATTCTGAATTCCACCAAGGAACTATCTTCTTTTTTTTACCACCTTCACTTCTAGGTATTACTGCTTTTGCTATATTAGCTATACTATTACTAATTTCTAAATTTAATTCATTTATTGGTTTATTTATATCTATATTTACCATATTACTTTCATTAATTATTTTATATCTTTCCCAATTACCATCCTCAAATCTCCATCTCCCTTGACTTTCTACCTGGTTTTCTTCTATATTTATTTCGACTTTAACAAATATTGGATAATGATCACTTCCTATTGTACTATTTTTACATACTCTCCAGCTGCAACTATCCGCCAAAGATTTTGATACAAGAGTCAGATCAATAGCAGACTCCCTACCTCTTACCAAGTCTACCCGAATACCTACCCCATTGTTTAATAGGACCATTTCTTTTTCTCCAATCATTTCTTCTAATATCCCCCCATTATAGTCATCTTGTTCTGCACATAGAAAGTACTATGTGCATTAAAATCCCCACACCAAATTATTTTTCCTCCCCAGTGTCTAAGAATTTTTTCAATTTTTTATTTATCTATTTTTTTACAAGGATTATAATTTATAATTTTTATATTTCCATTTTTTGTCCAAATTTTGACCGCATTAACTTCTAGATCTGTATTTAACTGCAACTTGCTACATTTTATGTTTTCTTTTATAAATGTGGCACATCCTCCTCCATTTCCATTTTCTCTTTCTTTGCGTACAATTGAATAATCATGAATACTAAATTGTAATGATAATTTAAGCCATGTTTCTTGAATACATATTATGACTGGTTTTGTATTTAATCTATTAATAAAACCTTAAAATTCCTGACCATTAACTATTAAACTTCGAGCATTCCATTGTATTATTAGAATTATATAACAATTTGAGGTGCCTCACTTTCAGCTGATTCTTCTCCTTGTCTAAGTTCATCATGGATTTTCTCGCATGATAGATCTTTAACACTGAAAAAATGTTGCTGCTGCCTTTATTATAATTTTTATTTTCTCAGTTTTAGTTCTTGCTTGCTCTGAACAGTTTATAATATATATCAGAAATGGAATCAGCTTTTCTAACGTGACATTGTTTTGAACCTTATCTGTCTCATTTTTCCTTTCTAATTTTGTTCTAGGAGTAACTCCTGTACTTTTCACCTCTTTCACTGCTTCAGCATACGCAATTCTCTTATCAATTTAAATTTTTTGAATTTCAGCTGCTTCTTTTCTTACCAAGCATCCTGCATATGCTGCAGTATGACTTCCTCCACAATTACAGCATTTTACTGAATTCTCTCCACATTCCCCATAAGGGTGTTCACCTCCACATCTTCCACATCTTTGCTTTCCTTTACACACGTTTGCTGTATGACCATACCTTTGGCACTTGTAGCATCTTAGAGGCGGTGGAACATAAGTTCTTACATTAAAACTCATGTATCCAATCATTACTTTATCAGGTTTTACCTTACCTTTGAAAAATAATAATACAGATGTACTGTCCAGTCTTTCCCCATTTTTGAAAGCCTGCAAACGTTTGATACCTGTAATCTCTCCTCCTTTTATTTACTTTCTTTTCCCTAAGGACTTTAGCTAGTTTAACTTTCTTTAATCCATTTGACAAACTGACTGTGCTCACCCCAATCATATCCTGTCCTGCTCTAAATTTCAAAATAACTTTAAAGTCTTCCATCATTATTTTCTTTCTTATTTCAACATTTTCTTCTTCATCCTCAAAAGATCTTTTACCCACATTTAGTCCTTTTTTACTCTTATCTTTTCCCCCTCCCCCTTTCCTATTTTCTACCATAGACCATCCTGTTTCCATGCTTTCATCTTCTGAACACCCCCCACTGCAACTAGCCATCTAGATTCACTCACACTCCAGATTATGCCAAAAACTGCTTTAGATAACAAATTTGTCTCTTGTCATAAGACCATTTTAAAGTCCTCTTCTTTCAAAAAACGGCGTTCTCCAATCCCATGCACCTCCACTTCCCGCGTCAGTGACACACAAATCATCACCTCAAGTGGAAGGATTTCTATTGGTTGAAATAGATCAACCAATGAAATTATGATCTATTTCAGCTGCTGAAATAGTTCAGCAGCTGAAATAGATCATAATTTCATCTGACCACCTGGCAGTGGAGGATATTGGGGACCAGATCATTGTTTTCTTGAGACTCTCTCTAAAAACGCTTCTAAGTGCCTTTTTCAATAGTTCAAATACCAAATATACCTCAATGCTCATAGAATCAGACATTGGCAATGTCTTAGCTCTACAGCAGAAGCTGAGGTCTACAATTACCTCCACAGCCAATCACTGCAAAGGAAATGAATGGCGCTCCTTGATAAGCTGCTTTGAAACTCCAGGCAATAGAGTGTCATGTACATTTGCTTCAAAGAATTTTAACTTCACAAACTGCTTTTCATTTCAAAAGTGTTACAAAAAAATCTGCAAAATACAAACTTTCAGTGAGTAACTTGGAATAGGCTCATAAGCAGACAGCAGTTTTTCCAGACCCATATTATCACATAGTCCTGAGTTTAGATAATGGTCATTTAATCAATAAGCCAACCCATTTTAGTTGGATTACTTTATCAGACAATTGTACAATCAAATATCTGAGCATAATCCTAGTTGCCATTACAACAGCTAAAAGGGATCATGACTGCAGAGTATTTCTGGATATGCCCATAATTTTTTCATTGATCCACAAACATTTCATAATTAAAGAGGTGTTAAAGAACAACATGTTAACATGCTGAGGGGAGAGTTGAACTTTTGAGTTGAAATTGTTTTTTAGCCGTGATTTAAAGGAATTCAGTGTTTCAGCAGCTTTGTAGTTTTCTGGAAGTTTGTTCCAGATATTGAATGCTGTTTGAACCAGAACCAGAGCCATCCTTGGTACGAACCATGGACTGAGGAAAACTAGATTTAGGCTTACTGCTGTCAGAGTATTATTACTGGATGTATTTCAGTGAAAGGAATATTTTCCTAGTAGATTTATTGTGGTTGCTGACTCATCTGTCACATTTTTTAGCTTAAAAAGTATAGTTATGTTATAGTATATGTCTTAACTAGCTTTCTGAGGGCCACATCTCCTTTATAACTTCCGTCTTTCACAACAGCTACTCTAGTCTGAACTGCACATTTGTTTGTTTCACCTTCACGCCTAGCTCATTGAGGAATTCTTACTTTAGCTTACAATGAGGTGAATTTATGCTTTTCTCCCCCTTCTTTGTCAGCTCTAATTCCAAATCTATATTGCTTAAGGGAGGGCAAACATGAACTGAGTTAATCCTCTCTGAGAACAGATTTTTAGACAAACTGATATTTAAATAATTTATTTTATAATAGAAGTCTTGTACATTGACTTATTTTTTATGCCGGCCTAAATTATTTTTATTTTGAAATACGAAGTTCAAATACTTGTATTTGGAGATTTAAAGAAAGCCAATTGGTGCGCAAATTTGTTTTTCACTTTTAATTATTGAATTACTGATCTTAGACAAAATTCAGTTGAAAGAAACAGGAACGAGAAGGAAAATATCTCTGTACTAAACTAACTGTCAGCCACCAGGGGCACTCGTTAGACATCAGGCATCGACCTCAGAGATACTTCACTGGAAGACCAAAGGGTCATCCACCAGAATCATAGTAAAAAAAATCTGCTGGACTGATTTCAGCTCTAAATTTAGGTCAGCTCTGTGAGAAGCAGTGCAGACAGTTTTCAAATCTATATAAATTTTTTATGATTCCACAGATGTTTCAGATGGAAATTTAATGAAGGCACACATAGATATGCACAACTGCTTGAATGCACCAAGATGCTGGGATCCATACACACGCACACGGATCACACACATGCACAGCTAAGCTTGTAAGAAGATGGAATGTGAGGAGTTGGTAGAAATAGGTCACATGGATGGAGTTCACCAAGAAAGTGGGCCACAGGTTCATGTTCCCTCTGCAACTCCCAGCTCAGCTCCTGTTAAAACTGCATGCTTAGATGTGTTTTATGGGTCTGTGGTGGGTTGTTACGGTAGGTAGAAAGGCATACGGGAGATATCTAATATTAATGATGAGAGAACCCATGGAAACAAAGCCCACTGGCCTCATACTTGGTTTTCTTTGGCCTCAGTGATGACTCCCTTGTTCTCTTTTTTGTTCTGTTACAGAAAATCCTTCCCATCCCAGCATGCCACACTAGCATCCTTTGCTGCTGTCTACATATCAGTGAGTAATTGAACCTTTCTAAAAACACACAGATCCCATGGACAGATTTAATTATACTTTTTAGTTGAGGATAATAGTCTTTTATTTTCTGCTCTATGTGCTTTGTTCACATGCCTGGCAGCTGGTTCAGTTTCTGGAGCTTCAGTATAGACTGCTGGAAAAAAGTATTTAAAGACATGTTCTGTTCTCTTTTTTCTTATTAGTCAATCTTAAATAGCATGTCATTAATCAGATTTGTAGTTCTCTTTAAATAGGATTTGCCAAAAGAAAAACAAAAAGTGACCACTTTGTAACTGACTACAAAGTTACGATTTTATTAATAAAGAATAAGGATGTGTAGCCAATGTATGGATGGATAGATGGATGGATAGATGGATGGATGATGCAATAATAAAAGCACTTAAAATTTGTCAATGCTGTTGTTTGGAAATTTTTAATAAGATATTTAGCAATAAAAACAGTTTAAGTCATTTTTTAGTTTTGATACTTAGTTCAGTGTATCACATATCCTCCCCATGGTAGCAACAGTGTGTGGTCACATCTTATAGCCTTACAATAGTTTAGATCAGCTGAAAACTGTAGGCTGCTGTACTTGGAGTTAAGCTGATTTTCTCTACTACTAAAGATCTTTAGATTTTCTGTGATGATGTTTCAGATGACTGATATAGCTAAGTGCAGAGTGAACAATGTGCTTTATTGCTGTATAGGACTTCTCTGCAGCCCTATATGTATGGATGGGTGGACTTTGAGTAATCTTTAGAATGCCTGCAGAGCCACTCATCAGGACTGATATGTGTTTTTGTTTTGACAGATGTATTTCAACAGCACTCTCACAGACTCGTCTAAGCTGCTTAAGCCTCTGCTGGTCTTCTCTTTTATTATAAGTGCCATCATTTGTGGTTTGACTAGAATCATTCAGTACAAGAACCACGCTGTTGACGTTTATCTGGGATTCCTAATTGGAGGTGGTATTGCCGTGTACCTGGTAAGTTTGTCAAAAATTGCTCCCTTGTTAGCATATGGTGAAAGTAGCTATCAAGAGAACAATTCACTTGTAACTTTAAAGTCTTGAAAACAGCATGTTTCATTATAAACAACCATAAATTTTTCACTTCAATGCTTCTTTGGGCTGAATTGACTTCAGTTCATTAGATTAAATAATTATAATCTCGACATTTGGAGAGCACTAGCTTAATTAATGGATAATGTACAATTACACCATAATCTTGTATCAAATATATGTCTTTAAAATGACCATATATGGGACTATCTGGACAAACTGTCTCGCTTACATGTACATGTATCACAAGCCCACACATGCAACTCATAGATGCATATTGGATATAACTGAGATGATCATCAAAAGTTAGGAATCAGTAGGATTAAGTATTTGAACACACTGCGACTTTGCAAGTTTTTCAACTTCAAAATCATGGAGGGGTCTGAAATGTTCATCTTAGGTGCAAGCCCACTTTGAAAGATATAATCTAAAAAAAATCTGAAAATCACAGTGTATGATTTTTTAATAATCTATTTGTGTTACTGCTGCAAATAAATATTGAAAATCATTATTAATATACAGCAGCCCTTGTTTGCATTTACAGAGGTTAATCATTTTCTCCAGGTTTGCACACACTGCAGCAGGGATTTTGGCCCATTTCTTCAGATCTTCTCTAGATCAGCCAAGTTTCTGGGCTGTTGCTGAGAAACATGGAGTTCGAGCTCCTCCAAAGATTTTCTATTGGGTTTAGGTCTGGAGACTGGCTAGACCTCTCCAGAACCTAGAAATGCTTCTTACGGAGCCCCTCCTTGGTTATCCTGGCTGTATGCTTCCGGTCATTGTCAAGTTCTTCCATGACAATGATCTGTAGAAAGCTGGGACCACATCTGTGGGAGAACTTGCAAAGTCGCTGCATACTAATTTTAATTGTCCTCCAGATACTTATTTGAAGTATATGGAGGAAATACAAATACATATAAATATTTGGGTATTAAATTGGACTATTCAAGGTTGCTATCAAACTTATTTTCTATTAGCAGCTCCATATTTTTTTTTTGATAAACATTAAATTACCAAGAGACATGCAAACATATGTTAGCTTGGCTTTTTCTCTATTCTTCCTCTTTCTTTTCTCTCTCCCTGACAGATAAGTCTTTTTTTGCGACATTGTTTTGCTAACTTATCTTCCGTTGTAGCTTTGGATGTTTGCATGAACTCTACAAATGGCAGCTCATAGCACTGGTGAAGCATGACCTACCGTGGCCACCAGGGGACAACCAAGAGCAATTTATGTTTCTTTGTCCATCCATCCATTTTCTGATCACCCTTCTCCCCAACGGGGTCGGGAGGTGTCTATCTCCAGCTGCGTTCCAGGCGAGAGGCCTGGACAGGTCGCCAGTCTGTCGTAGGGCAACACAGAGACAAACAGGACAAACAACCATGCACACACACACATCTAGGGAGAACAATCTATGTTTCTTTCCCATATAAAGAATGATTTTAATATGCATTATCAAACATATATTATTGTAAATATCAGAACTCTATAATAAAATTATGTGTTTTTGTTAATATAATCACATAGAATCATTACTAAAAAAAAAAGTTCCACTTAGAGTGCTCCTAGCCCTAGGGCCCTAAGGAGCCACTTAGACTGCTTATGCTTTGGACTGGCCTTGTTTGAAATATACACTCAACAAAATTATAAACGCAACACTTTTGTTTTTGCTCCCATTTTTCATGAGATGGACTCAAAGATCTAAAATTCATTCCAGATAAACAATATTACCATTTCTTTCAAATGTTGTCCACAAATCTGTCTAAATGTTTGATAGTGAGCACTTCTGCTTTGCTGAGACAATCCATCCCACCTCATAGGTGTGCCTCATCAAGATGCTGATCTGACATCATGATTAGTGCACAGTGTACCTTATACTGCCCACAACAAAAGGCCACTCTGACATGCGCAGGTTTGTCACACAACAAATGCCACAGATTCCGCAAGCATTGAGGGAGCGTGCAATTGGCATGCTGACAGCAGGAATGTCAACCAGATCTGTTGCTTGTGCATTAAATGTTTATTTCTCCATCATAAGCCGTCTCCAAAGGCGTTTCAAAGAATATGGCAGTACATCCAACTGGCCTCACAACCACAAACCACGTGTAACCACACCAGCCCAGGACCTCCACATCCTGCAGGTTCACCTCCAAGATCGTCTGAGACCAGCCACTCAGACAGCTGCTGAAACAATTGGTTTGCACAACCAAAGAATTTCTGCACAAACTGTCAGAAACCGCTCAGGGAAACTCAACTGCATGCTAGTCGTCCTGTGGGTGAGCGCTTTGCTGATGCAAATGTTGTGGATCAAGTGGCTCGTGGTGGTGGGTTGATGGTATGGGCAGGCATCTGTTATGGACGAAGAACACAGGTGCATCTTATTGATGGCATTTTGAATGCATGTTTACCGTGATGAGATCCTGAGTCCCATTGTTGTGCCATACATCCATGAACATCACCTCATGTTTCAGCAAGACAATGCTCGGCCCCATGTTGCAAGCATCTGTACACAATTCTTGGAAGCTGAAAATGTCCCAGTGCTTGCATGGCCAGCATTTTCACCAGACATGTCACCCATTGAGCATGTTTGGGATGTGCTTGACCGGTGTATCCAAAAGCAGTTCCCACTAATATCCAGCAACTTCATACAGCCATTGAAGAGGAGTGGACCAACATTCCACAGGCCACAATTGACAATCTGATAAACTCGATGCAGAGAAGATTTGCCCATTGCACTGCATGAGGCAAATGGTGGTCACACCAGCTACTGACTGGTTCTGAGTCCCCAGACCCCAATAAAGCAAAAATAAAAATGTACATTTCAGAGTGGCCTTTTATTGTGGGCAGTATAAGGTACACCTGTGCACTAATCATGATGTCAGATCAGCATCTTGAAGTGGCACACCTATGAGGTGGAATGAATTATCTCAGCAAAGCAGAAGTGCTCACTATCAAACATTTAGACAGATTTGTGGACAACATTTGAAAGAAATGGTAATATTGTTTATCTGGAATGAATTTTAGATGTTTGAGTCCATCTCATGAAAAATGGGAGCAATGTGTTTATATTTTTGTTTAGTGTATGAGTAGTGAGAAAATTCCAAAATTAAACTTGTTCTATGCGTGGGATTCTGTTCATTATACCCATTGACATGAATGGATTAGGAGAGCTTGATTCAGGTTTCTGAATGGGTTAATGACATTCTTTTGGAAGTACATTGAAGCTCATTGTTACCAATGTTTTAATGCCAGTCCTTAAATTCCTAAAAGAAGACATGGTGTCTGCCTTACCCAAAAATAAACTTGGGAGAAAAACCTGATGACCAAACTGAACCTCATATTTATTTATGAAGCACATTCTAAAACAAAATTACATACATACATACATACATACATACATACATACATACATACATACATACATACATACATACATACATACATACATACATACATACATACATACATACATACATACATACATACATACATACATACATAAAATACTTTAAGAAATAATGAAGATGGAACAGAACAAAACTAGTAATCCTTGCAATAAGAATGCATGGCATCCAAAGACAGTTCACATTGCTCAAGTGCCACAGAGTTGGTGCCATAAGTCCGATTTTAAAAGACTCTGAGAGAAGCAGATGATCAGATCTCTGTAGGGATCTGACGGGATCTGAACAGATGGATTCATAAATCCCTGAGATGAACTAGCTTCTATGAATAAACTAGAAGCTCATTTATACACTCTAGGAACTACAAATTCCTAGAGTTCCTGCAGTCCATAAATGAAGCACTCCTACGTGCCAATGCAAAAAGGCCTCGATAGGAACATAAATGAAATATCATGCATCCATCCATTGTCTGCCGCTTATCTGGGGTCTGGTCGCGGGGGTAGCAGCTTCAGAAGGGAGGCCCAGACTTCCCTCTTCCCAGCCACTTGTTCCAGCTCCTCTGGGGGAATCCCGAGGCGTTCCCAGGCCAGCCGAGAGACATAGTCCCTCCAGCGTGTCCTGTGTCTTCCCCGGGGCCTCCTCCCGGTGGGACGTGCCCAGAACACCTCACCAGGGAGGCGTCCAGGAGGCATCCTGACCAGATTCTGTCATGTTCCGTGTTTTTCTGTTGTGTTTATTTGAGTTTTCTGTGTCCCGAGTCTCCTCGTTGTCCTGTCTTCCCCCTTGATTGTTCCCAGGTGTGTCTTGTTCCCCTGATTACCCTCAGTCTATTTAGTCCCTCCTGTGTCCTATGTCCCTCGTCGGGTCCTTGTCAGATTGTCGTTGTCGTACGTTGTCTTGTCTTTTGAGCCGCCTGTGAATCCAGTTGCTACCGGTGTTGAGCCCTGGCTTCCGCTCAGCCGTGCTGCCTGGCCGTGGACTGTTTGATTTTGTTTTCTGGACTATTTTGTCATTAAATATCTCACTATTCACATTACCTGGGTCTCTAGCGCTTGCCTCACCGCCTCACCACACCACCACTCCATGACAGAAGGACCTGAGCACAAGTAAGGTGAGGACGCCGATTACATCATGGACCCAAGGGAGTTTTGGGATACGCTGGAGGACTACCTGGCGGAGGTAGAAAGCCCATATTCGGTGACCAGGCGTTTGGGCATGGCCACTCGCATGTCCATAACGCTGGACACATGGATTCTGCGACTTCCGGGCCTGGGGCTGGAGGAGTTACAACAAGAGGTAGAATGGCAATTCCAGACGGCAGCCGCCGTGCTGAGGGGCGGCCCTCTACCTCCCAAGCCGGACTTTCGCTCCGCCAGCTCAACCCAGGCTCCAGCCCCTGCTCCTTGTGCCGCTCCGCCGGCATCTGCTCCTCGTGCCGCTCCTCGTGCCGCTACTCGTGCCGCTCCTCGTGCCGCTCTGCCGGCTTCAGTTCCGCCAGCTGCTGTTCCTGCCGTTCCTTCTCCGCCGGCTGCTGTTCCTGCTCCGCCGGTTGCTGTTCCTGCACCGCTGGCTGCTGTTCCTGCTACGCCGGCTGCTGTTCCTGCTACGCCGGCTTCTGTTCCTGCTATGTCGGCCTCCATGGCTCCTGTTCCCTGTGCTCCGCCGGATTCCGCTCCGGCCTCCGTGGCTCCTGTTCCCTGTGCTCTGCCAGATTCCGCTCCGCCCTCCGTGGCTCCTGTTTCCTGTGCTCCGCCGGACTCCGTTCTGGCCTCCGTCGAGCCAGCTCCTCGTGCTCCACCGGACTCTGTTCCGGCCCGACTGGACCTTCTCGTTGTGCTCTGCCGGACCCCGTTCCGGTCTCCAAGGCTCCAGCAGCTCCAGCTCCTCCGGCTCTCCAGCCGGCTCCAGCGTCTGCTTCTCCGGCTCTCCAGCCGGCTCCAGCGTCTGCTCCTCCGGCTCTCCAGCCGGCTCCAGCGTCTGCTCCGCCGGCTCTCCAGCCGGCTCCAGCGTCTGCTCCGCCGGCTCTCCAGCCGGCCTCCGCGACTGTTCCCCCAGCTCCTCAACTGGCCTCCGTGTCTGCTCCGCCGGCCATCCAGTCGGTCTCCACCGTCCCTGCTCTGCCGGCTCTCCAGCCGGCCTCTGCTCCTGTTCCGCCGGCTCTCCAACCAGCCTGTGCTCCTCGAGCTCCACCGGCCCTTCCGCCGGTATCGGAACCTGTTCCACCGGACATGGCTTTGGCCACCCTGCCTCATAGCATTCCTTTTGTGTTTCCTTGTGTGTCTCTTGTACCTCTTAGCATTCCTTCCGAGTTTTCCTGTATTCTTCCCGAGTGTCCTAGAATTTCCCTGTGTTTTTTCCGCGTGTCCCAGTGTCTCTTTAGATTCTCCTCGTGTCTCTCCCGAGCTCCCTAGTGTCCCACCCGGTTTTCCTAGAATTCATCCCAAGTCTCTTAGTGTTTCTCCCGAGTCTCCTTGTGTTTCCCCTGAGTTCCTTAGAGTCCCTCCTGGTTTTCTTAGACTTAGTTCCAAGTTCCCCAGTGCTCCTCCCATGTCTCTCAGTGTTCCTCCCGTGTCTCCCAGTGCTTCCTCTCTTAGTGTCCCTTCCGGGTCTCCTAGCATTCCTCCTGAGTCTCCTTGGGCTTCCTCTGAGTTCCCTGGTGTTCCCTTTAAGTCTCCTAGTGTTTCTTCAGTGTCTCTTAGTGTTTCCCCTGAGTGTCATAGTGTTTCCCTCGAGTTCCCTAGTGTCCCCTCCTCGTCTCCTAGTGTCCACTCCTCGTCTCCTAGTGTCCACTCCTCGTCTCCTAGTGTCCCCTCCGAGTTTCCTCGTGTCCCCTCCAAGTTTCCTAGTGTCCCCTCCGAGTTTCCTAGTGTCCCCTCCGCGTCTCCTAGTTTTCTCTCCGCATCTCCTAGTTTCCTCTCCACGTCCCAACAGTTCCTCCGTCGTCCCCAACAGTTCCTCCGTCGCCCCTTAGTTCTCCTCGAGCTCTTCCGTCATCCCTTAAAGCTCCTCCGTCATCCCTTAAAGCTCCTCCGTCATCCCTTATAGCTCCTCCGTCATCCCTTAAGGCTCCTCCATCTCCTAGTGTTGCTCCGTCGTCTTCTAAAGCTCCTCCGTCGTCTTCTAAAGCTCCTCCGTCGTCCTAAAGCTCCTCCGTCGTCCCCTAAAGCTCCTCCGTCGTCCCCTAAAGCTCCTCCATCATCCCCTAAAGCTTCTCCGTCGTCCCTAAAGCTCCGTCGTCCCCTAAAGTTTCTCCGTCATCCCTTAAAGCTCCTCCGTCATCCCTTAAAGCTCCTCCGTCATCCCTTATAGCTCCTCCGTCATCCCTTAAGGCTCCTCCATCTCCTAGTGTTGCTCCGTCGTCTTCTAAAGCTCCTCCGTCGTCTTCTAAAGCTCCTCCGTCGTCCCCTAAAGCTCCTCCGTCGTCCCCTAAAGCTCCTCCGTCGTCCCCTAAAGCTCCTCCATCATCCCCTAAAGCTTCTCCGTCGTCCCCTAAAGCTTCTCCGTCGTCCCCTAAAGTTTCTCCGTCATCCCTTAAGGCTCCTCCGTCTCCTAGTGTTGCTCCATCGTCCCCTAAAGCTCCTCAGTCGTCCCCTAGTGTTCCTCCAGAGTCGCCCCCTAGTGTTCTTCCAGAGTCGCTCCCTAGTGTTCCTCGGTCGCCCTCCGGATCTCCCCCGTGGGGTCTGCTTTTGGCGCAGGGGATGCCCTCTAGACCTCCAAGTCTTCCCTCGAGGCCTCTGCCCACCTTTTGGGTAGTTTTCTGTTTGTTTTTGGACTCTTTGTGTTTCCGCCCACCTTTTGTGGGTAGTTCTTTGTTTTTCTGGACTCTGGCCATCCTTCCGTCGCCCCTCCGCCCACCCTGGTTTGTGTTGGACTCTGTTCTTTTTGGGCGTCTGGTAGCCGCCCTTTAAGGGGGTGGTACTGTCATGTTCCGTGTTTTTCAGTTGTGTTTATTTGAGTTTTCTGTGTCCCGAGGCAGATGCTGCGCCAATCTGCCTGTCGATCTCCCACGCCCTTCTTCCCTCATTTATGAACAAGATCCTGAGATACTTGGACTCCTGCACTTGAGGCAGGACAAATGAAATATCACTGCTCCTTAACCTATGTTTCCACATGTGATTCTCTGGTTTTACCTTTAGGATACGTAAAATTCAACACTTAAGCTATAATAACCTATTAAAAATGTGTAAAATAAAAGGTATCGCAATGATTGTGCATTATCAAGTAAAGTATGTACTTGTGTTTGATGTGATTTCAGGGAGTGTATGCAGTTGGAAATTTCCAGTCAAGTGAGGAGCCCAACAGCAGTCCTTGTGTCCTTTTGCACCACACGTGTCTCTCCCGTGCTTCTTGCACATTGCCACATGTAAGTCAGGAGGCTGTTCTCCATCACCTTCAGATGAAATCCAGTATGTCTAGTGAGGCTGGTATCCCCACCTCCCACTCTGAAAGCCTGCTTCACCGAGGCATACAGCAGCAGAGACCTGAAGACAGCCTAAAGCCCTCCAATGCTAATGTGGAAGTGATGTCGCCCTGCAACCCCCAGAGCAAAGATGCCATGATGAGTTTTAGCCACACGCTCCCTCGGGTTCACACCCCTCAGGCCATAGCAGCATATGAAGAAGCTGCCAGACGCCATGCTGCCACTCTCCACCATGCGTCCATGGACTCCAGTCGCTCAAAGCAGCTTCTGTCTCAATGGAAAAGCAAGAACAACAATCATAAATGCTCCATAATGTCCCCAGACTCCTTTTCCTCCTCTGTTGACTCATCTGGCCACCTTCCACATCATGGCAGCATTGAGCTACGATCCAGCTCTGAACCATTAACTGTGGGCATAAATGGGGTCCTTGATGCCAGCACATACATGTCCAAGCTCCCCACTGGTGCTAGTACCACTCTACCCAGTAACTGCAGTGGATTCACTGGAGGCACCAGGATATCAATGCAATCTAGACCTGGGTCTTCACAGCTAGTGCACATACCAGAGGAAGCACATGAAAATTACAACACCACTTCCCAAAGGACAGGAGGAAGTGACATAACAGTCAACAGTACAGTTCAAGCTAACTGGCAAAGAGCAGCTGAGAAGACTGGAAACATGCAGAGCACCCAGCCACGAATCATGCAAGTAATTGCTATGTCCAAGCAGCAGGGTCTACTTCAAACCCATTCCAAAAGCTTAGATGAAAGCAGCATGGGTTTTAATGATAATGGAAGTGGCCAGGGTAGTACGCGATACAGAGCACTCACCGATCAAGACCCTATCAGCACCACAGGGCCCAGCTCACTGGGCAGCACCACTGGTAGCATTTCTGGAAGCACTGGAGCAATTGTCAGAGTAGAGGCCCACCCTGAAAATAACAAACCAGTTATTCAAGCTCCATCTACAGATGGAAGTGGATCTTGGAGGTGGCGATCGCTGGATCATGGCAACAGTATTGGTGGAAGTACAGGGACCAGCTCTTTTGGTAGTGGGTCAGGTCCTGGGAGTCTCAGGCAGACTGTTGAGCACAATGATCAAAGCGTTGACTCAGAGAGTTCAGACTCAGCTCGTGAAGGGTCCATTGACCGAAAGCATGGCAAACATATTATTATCACCACCTCAACTGTTGGAACCCCATCAATAGTTACTATTCACACCCAGAACACTGGCCAGTCAGAGCAGAGGATCCATCCTCAGGGTCTTTCCACCATAAGGGTCACTCCATGTGGTCCTGGGGCTGGAGGAGGTGGTAACTTAGGGGGAGAGGCAGCTTCTGAAATCCCCTCAGTTGTTTCCAGTTGTGAGTCAACACTGCGAAAAAAAAGCAATAATATCATTATGATCCCAGAGAGAGCCAACAGTCCTGATAATGCTAGGAACGTTTTCTACAAGGGAACTTCAATTACTCCTAATTTAAAGGAATAAAACACGATGTGACCAGACTGCCATTTGAAGAAAGCAAATAGAACAAGTGTATTTTCAGAAAATTCAAATTCTACAGTAGTTTATATGTAGCATGGTTCTTGTACACGCTTACTCTGAAGCGCAACAGTTTGTGTTGTTAAAATAATCACTGTGTATTTCTTTGTGATCACTCTTATGGGAATCCTTTTTATAATTATATTTCATATGTTTTTGACTTTAAAAAACAACAACAAAAAACAATGTGCCAGTCACATTAAGACAAAATTGTTGTTTCATAGTTGTGAAACCAATGTTTACTTTCCTACATTGTAAATACTGTGTATACTTGAAAGTGGTGCTACACTAGACAGAACTATTTACTTTGTATAAAGCATTCTGTGTTCTCCAAATACACCAACAATTATTTTACAAAGAATTGCAACAATGTCAAGAAGGATTTTGTAATGCTTCTGTACAGATAGCCCATCTTTAACAGAATACTGTTGGAACCATAAGTGAGCTTAGCATTTATCTGTAGCTACAAAGACAAATTAGTTGTAACTTGCACTAAAGTAAGCGTTTACTGTACGCTGCATTATACTGTTTATATATCTATATACATATACTGCTCACGAAGTGTTAGGGATATTTTGCTTTTGGCCAAATTTGTGGAAAACATAAAAAGTTCACACAACAATGATATTATAGCATGAAAGTAGGGAAGTTTAGAAATATCCTACAGTGATTTCCCTACCTCACACAGAGTATTAAAAGAAATGCAAAGATTTGTGAGTGTGCAATAATAATTACTGTCAGTGTCTTCATAATGTGTCATGTGATTTGAGCATTAATTACAAGTTGACAACAATGTCTCCAACTGTTCACAAGTCAACTTATAGTCTGTTGGAATGACATCCCTCTCTTGTTGAAGGGTGGACCTCAAATCATTGAGTTTCTGGAATATGGAGTTACAAGTCTCTGTAACTTGTAACAGAGACTTGTTACCTGACTCCATAGGTTCTCCATGAGAACCTGACCCCATAGGTTCTCCGTGAGAACCAGTTCTGGTGAAAATGTCGCCCATTCCAGGTACTCTAGTGTTCAGTTGGTGTTCCTCAGGAATGCAGCCTCGATGACCTGGAGCATTGTCATCCCTTTGTTTCTTTTATTTAGATTGTATCAAGGTTGTCCAGTACATAGACCACACTGATGCTAATGATTCCTAATGACCTGATGTGTCATCTGGGAACCTTTCACCTCCCTCAAATGGACCAGGAGTTGAATGGCATTCATCATCCGGTTGTGCAGGGCATTGTTCACTTCACAGCAGACGTGGCCAAAGAAAGTCCACTTTTATACCTTTCTGTGACTCTTCCTGTCTTTCTAAATCTACGTTGCAACCTTCTGATGATACTGTCACTGTAGGCTCAGTGGCCACTTCCATCTGAGAACATCCCGTTGGAACCCTCACAATGGAAATTATGTTGGTCAATTGTAATGTTGCTGTTGCTCTGGTCTCATGATGTCAAAATGTCTACAGTTTATTGAGGAGAACTGTTTCAATACAAGAAAAAAACAATCGGAAAAGTATCGGATGATTCAGGGATCTAACAACTGATGTGAATTTTGCCTTTAGAGAAAAGTAGGATGTGCAAAATGTTTTGAAACATAGAACAGTTGGATATGTGCATTCAAAGATTTAGGAAAAGTCACATTAAATTCTTAAGTTATAATGTGTCCCAACATTTCTCCTGAAAGTGCAATATCCCTAACTTTTCGTGAGTATATTTGTACAAGAATGGCAATCAATTCTTAGAGCACATACAGCAGCAAAGCAGTGAACTATTTCACCAGTTTTTAACTTCTAAATGTGTTGAAAGGTTGACAAAACATCAGAATTTTTCTGACTCCATTTTATATGTTTTGAGGTTTTTTGGAGAGTATTTGAAGTATTCCAGTGAAATCCATTTTGTGTGCATGAATTACCTGAATCAGTAAGAGTGGACAAAAGAGAAGACCTACTTCAGTCAGTGTAAATACAAAACACATTATGAGATGAATATCTTTTTAAAGGACCAAAGGCTTTGCAAACCAATGCAGCAATATGTGAAAACGGTATTGTGCTCTTTCTTAAATTATACAGTTGCTACACCATGTTTTATGTTTGTTTCTCCTGTCCAGCTACTGCTGGACCTGGAAAGCCTTCCATTAAACCTCAGAAAGAGATTATTCAGGCATCAGCTTGTGTCGGATTATGCACCACCTCTTAATGTAACATGACAGCTTTGGAGTGGCCAAGATAAAGTATGAAAGTATACAAAGTCCTCCAGTGGTTGAATTAGAATAATTCTAATGCTTAGGAGCATTATAATTATTCTAATGCTTAGGAGCATTATAATTATTCTAATGCTTAGGAGCATTAGAATTATAGCTGCTTAGCAGCAGCTATAATGCTTAGGAGCATCGATGGCTTCACATAGGGCAAACTTGGATTGCATAGCTTGTTTTTCTTTATAGGTAAAATAAGTCTTTGTTTGAAAACTGCTTCTTTATTCACTTAGGTTTGATTTTCTAATTCCAAAAACTGCATAATCATCTACAGCACTTAAATATCAGAAAAGCTCCCTGAAAGAAAAAGGGAGCAGTTGCTCCTTTAAGAGAATTTAAGGAAGCAACTGCAATATCTATTACTGAGGCTGTAGTACTTCAGAGGAATGTTTTTTTGTTCACAATATCTAAATGCTGTATTCCTCTTTGTACACCAGTGTAGCAAAAGCACAGATTGTTTCAAACAACCTAATGTTGCTTGTGTAGCAACAAAAGTTTCCTAAAAGATTTAGACATGAAGTGGCAATTTCAATTAAAATTCATTCTGTTGGTTTTTATTTGTGCATAGCTATATAGGGTTCTCTTTGTTTTCTTGCTTGACAATCAGGAATTTTAATACACTTTTTGGGGTGAAGGTGAACTATTTCTGTCAAAAAGAAGTAAGACAGGTAACAGAAACCTTGAGCATTCTTCATAAAAATCAGCAGTTGCTCCTTTATGTATTAGTGAGAGGAACACTGGCATTGTTCATCATTCTTCAGGGTGAAGCAGCTCTGAAGCCTTCAGGTCCTCTGGTTCTGAAAATTCTTCATAAGATTTACGGGACATGGTGGCTCTCTTTACCTTCATGCTTTAGTGTTCAATTTCCAGTACACTCTACAATCTTATCTCATGTTTTTTGTTGATTTTTAATTTAGCTTTAAACAAAATGCAGCCTTACCTTTTAACTGATCATTTGTCTTATTTTAAATCACCAGAGCAGTTTTGTCAAAATTTCTTCATTTATTCATTTATTTATTTTACAACCTTCAGCAGGTTTGTGTAGACTGACATAGAGAATGATTGCTCAAAGATAACTGGACTTCAGCAGAGATTCTTGAGTACTCTATGTAAGAAACAGGGATTTGGAAGAGCAAAGAAAAAAAAATCAGTCAAGCTGATCAAATCATTTTAGGGGTAAAATGGACCCCTATATTTGTGGGTGAAAACTTGAAATCCCCTCTAAAAAAGCTTTGAACTGCCTAATTTAATAGTGAGAACACCAAATATGCCTTAACATGCATAAAATTCATTGCACTCCTGGATTGGCTGCTTTGCAATTACCAGCCAGTGATGTGTCAAGTATCACTGTTGATTAGTTTTTTAAATTGTCCTTTAGACAATAAAGTCGTGTGTCCAGTAGCATATGACTTATACCATGGGCTGTCAGTTAGACTGGTGCTTGCTCTGGGTTATCACGTTCTGTCTCTGCCTTACATCTCTGGAAGATGTCTGTTAATTTCCCTATGAACAATTTCCCATTATTGTCTGGCACCAATTTTTATTTTTGTCGATTTTTAGTCACTTTCAATGAGAACCATCTAGAGTGATCCACCATGTTCCACAGTAGCAAAGCTTTTTCAGCATACCAGAGATGACTGAGGTTGTCAGTGTTTTGGGGTAAAATACATGACCCACCAATTTTAAGTTTTATATTATTGCTTTTCACATTTATTTGAGTAATATTTAGAAAATTTTTGTAGATGCATTACTTATAACTAAATTTTATTCAAGTTCCTGGTTGTACAGTACCAAAACAAAGAATCTCAAATTTGTTTTAGACTGTGCTAGTTTGGTGCTTTGATTTTGTTTTGTGCTAAAAGGTACTTTGTGAATTTTCTGACAAATTCATGTTTATTATTAAATGTTTATGTAATTAAAAAAAAACACACTTTTGATATTTTAGAATTCATTACAAAAAGAAACTGGGACTGTTTCTTCTCATATTGTGATAAGGCAAGACGTACCAAAGTCAGATTTTTCTCGCATCAGAACATTTGGTGTAGCAAATTTTCTAACCCCAGACACATTATAAGCATGTTTTTTTATAATATAAAACAGCAGAATTTAGTCATACTGTTACCATATATCATCACCTTTATTCTTTGTCTAGGTCTGACTGTCTTAAGGTAAGCTTTGTATCTATGTACTCTGATTATTGCTTTATAGTTGTGGCTGTACATGTAAATGTGAAATGTGTACATATTCAAGAAAATTTCAGGAAGTAGTCTTGAACGCCAAGAGAATTTCTCAGTAAGAAAATAATTATTTACCAAGCAGTCCAAAATAGTTTACATCTGAAATTTTATCTCATGTTAATTTATTACGTTATTTAATGATTTGACTGGTCAGGTGATTAATTGGCTAAGTTCACCTCAGAATCATTTTACTTCTCATTTTTGGAAAGTTTCAAGAAAAGTCACTCTGGCTGTCTGCAATGTGAAACACACAAAGCTGGCAGAAGTTCAGCTTTTATAAAAAAACTAAATTAGAACAGCATCTTTCAACTCTTTATTTTCTCTTTGTGTCACTTGGGATTGTTCTGGCACATATAATATGTGATGAAAAGGTTAATAAGTCATGAGGTTTTGTCTTATGGCACAAAGGCCACAAACTTATCTTGGTTGTTGCTCCCAGCATCAGCCCCAATAGTAATTGATGGTGTGGCTTTTGATATTTACTGAAGTAGATTTTATGATGTGAAAAATCTATAAATGTGATATTCTTAAAAAGTATATTTCCTACAAACTTTGATACTATAGACATCTTTAAAAAAGTGATTTGGATCCGAGCCTTAATGTTCTAAACACTCCATACAGCATGATGTTTGAGTTCACTGAAAAGCACACCTTGTCTTACAGTTAGAAGAAAAAAAACAACAGATCTGATTTTCTGTACTTCCTAGAAGTCAGTGGAATCCAAAAATGTAGTGTCATGCCATCCTCAGATTGGATCCTACATCCACCCTGAGGATAGAGGATCTTTGCATGTGTAGACTAATGTGCCGTCTCTGGATGAACAATAAATGTTTTCTGATTCTGTTGTCTGATGTATGGTTTCTATTAACCAAGGAAAAAAAAGAAAGGGCTGGGGGATATAAAAGAATGATTGGAAGGAAGTGGTAAAAAATCACCAAAAAAAATTTACTAATATCCTAAAATTCTTGAAATGAAGTATTAAGAGTATATAGCCTTTTTTAAAATCAGTTTTTTTGTCACCTTGTCGTATCATTATCGTATGAGACAGTTAATTTGTGAAAACATCACGCTCCTCCACCTCCTACCTTCAGAAATACACCACTCCAGAAGAAAAAGCCAATCAGAGTCAGGAGGAGGGTCTTAGCGCTGTCAATGGTACATGCTTCTCACGCGTTCCCCATTGCTGCTATATGCCACAATATTTTATTGTCTGTGATGAATGCTCAGGATAGTTACCATGGACACTGATGACGGTGGATAAATGGTTTTCCTGTCACTTTAAGTTGTTCTCCACTGTTAGCTCTTTTAGCAGCACCTACACAAATTGATTGACAGTGTTAAGATCCTCCTCCTGGCTCTGATAGGTCATTTTTGAGTGGTTTATTTCAGCAGATGGTTATAGAAGCTCAGAGAGGAGGTTAAGGAGGATGATTTTTTTCACAGATTATCTCATGACATGGTGACAGTTTCAATAAATATGTAAAAAGAAAAATTATTTCATAACATTTATACAGCAGCTTTATTCAACCACTTTTTTTATATTGATTCAGATATTTTGGATGTAAGTAATAAAACATTGTATGAAAAGTCACCTGTCGTCACTAAGTTCAGACGGTTACCTCAGGTCCTAAATTCAAATCCCAGGTGGGTTGAAGCCTGTCTGTGTGCAGTTTGGGTCCTGCCTGTGCAAGAGAGATTCTTCTCTATGTACTCCAATTAACTTCCACACTCCAAGACATACAAGAAGTATGAATTTCTCCTAGGGAACTGTTTGCCTCATTTTTGTGAATGTGAGCTTAGAGCAGATGAGCCTTGCCAAAAAAGCTCATCACAAATTTTGCAGAGATAAATCAACAGTATGTCGAATAAAATATTGTAATTTATTTATGGTAACACATAAATAACTGGTCTATGAGGACCAAATAGACTTGGCATAGTGTTGATTTAACTCTGCAGAATTTGCTGTGAGTCTCATCTGTCCAAAAGGCATTCTCCCAGAAACTTTGTGGCTTATTAATATGCTGTCTCACTTTGTAATGCTTTGTTTCCTCCTTGGTCATCTCCTATGAAGTTCACTTTAGCTCAAACAACAACTCTTGTTCTGATCTGACCCTACAGTCCTTGCCTTTAACATGCTGCTTTATAATCTTCTTTCTGGGGAAGCCAGAGGACCAATGAAAACTCACACAAGCTCAAGAACAGACAGCAGTGAAAACAACTCCATGCACGGCCAAATCTGTGAAACATTTATGGGATCAACAACAATGAAGACACTCATGTTTTCAGTCAAAGCTAAGAAACTCTAATTTGCATGGACTGTGACTGCTTTCACATAATTTATCAATCCAATTATGGTTCAACACTGCCTCCTAAAGGACACCGTGTGTGACAGCTATGAGACCTTTCTCCTGGCTCTGATTGATTGTTTCTAATGATGTAGTGTATTTCTATAGACAACAGCAGGACTGTGAGACAGATCATCTGTCTCATATCAAACCGTCACAACAGAGGAAATACTATTACTATTTTAACAAAAGTTACACATGCACAGGCATGTATATATGGGTGTATGTGCGTGTTTGTGTGTGTGTATGTGTGTGTGTGGGTGTGTGTGTGTGTGTGTGTGTACTGTATATGTATATGTATATATATTATTCCAATTTAAAAAATTAAGTATTTATTCTTGCGGCAGTAAATCAATAAATGCCATCATTATGTCTGTGTTCATGTTTTGTTTTTTTTTTTTTTGCATAGGACTTGCTGGCTATATATTCTAAGCTGTACTTCCGTATTTGTTGCTGGAAATGATAACTTGGCGTGCCAGTTGTCAATTTTGTGAGGACTCTATCTTTAGACTGTAGAAGCTAATTCACTTCATGTGTTGCCATAGTAACAAGACTGCAAGACGAAAAGCACAAGAGTAAAAGTGATGTACTGGTGATGGAGGTGGGAAGAGTGATGAAATGATTAATAATTGAAGAATTGTTCATGACTGAATGAATGAACAATGGGGTGAGCAAAACCATGACACAGCTGCCTCACTTTCCAGAGAGTATTGTGCAAGTTATTATCATACAGTGCAGGAAATAATTATGCCATCACATAAGTTTTTCACCCTAAAAAATTAACACACAATAACTTTTATAGGGGCTGCATTGTGCAACCCCTATAAAGGTTATTGTGTATAATTTTTGCACAGTGGCACAGTTGGTAGCACTATTGCCTGGCAGCAAGTGTTATCACTTGCTGCCAGGCTGCAAATGGCTGCCTGTGACCACAGGCTGATTCGATTTCCAGCCCGGGGTCTTGCTGCACGGAGTTTGCATGTTCTCCCTGTGCATGTGTGAGTTCTCTCCTGGTACTCCAGCTTCCTCCCACAGTCCAAAAACATGACTGTCAGGTTAATTGATCTCTCTAAATTCTCCCTAGGTGTGTGTGTGTGTGGGTGGGTGTGTGTGTGTGGGGGGGGGGGGGGTGTGTGTGCGTGGGTGTGTGTGTGGTGTGTGTGTGTGTGTGTGTGTGTGTGTACATGGTTGTTTGTCCTGTCTGTCTCTGTGTTGCCCTGCAACAGCCTGGCGACCTGTCCAGGGTGACCCCATCTCTCACCCAGAACGTTAGCTGGTGATAGGCACCAGCACCTCCTGATCCCACTTGGGAAAATGGTGAAAGAAAATGGATGGATAACTTTCATAGTAGCTTTTTAACAGGGAGACAGGAAACACAGTCATGAAATAAATATCTGATAATCAAACAAAAGCCAGTTTAATAGCTATTAGGTGACTCAAGCTTTATTGGGAAGCACTGAATTCAAACAATTTTTAGTTGGAGTTCATTACTACAATTCTGCTTCTCTCCTCTTTGTGTGGTGTCATGAGGTGTGGTGGTGGAGATGGTGAGGCAGACGCTGGAGACCCAGGTATGGTGAATGGTGTAATTTAATTTAAGGTTCAGTCCACAAAACACAGTCAACGAAGTCCGCGGCCAGGCAGCACGGCTGAGCGGAAGTCAGGGCTCATCACCGGTAGCAACTGGTCTAATAGGCAGATACAATTGACAGCAACACAGTGCAACAAAAACAACAAGGACTTACGACAAGGACCCGACGAGGGACAAAGGACACAGGAGGGACTAAATACACTGAGGGTAATCAAGGGAACAAGACACACCTGGGAACAATTAAGGGAAAGACAGGACAACGAGGAGACTCAGGACACAGAAAACTCAAATAAACACAACAAAAACACGGAACATGACGTGGAGAAATGTACTGGCAAAAATCAAGAGCTGGAATTTGTATTTGAAGAGCAGGATTTTATCTCTCTTTCAGATACTCTACACCAGGTGTGTCAAACTCATTTTCGTTTTGGGCCAAATCAAGATCATGAAGGCTCTTAAAGGGCTGGTTGTGCCAGAATGTGTTGATACAATCTGTTCACAAACTGTTAATATGTCAATGAATTCTTAAAATTACATAATATTATTGAAGATCTTTTCAGTCCCTTCAGGAATAAGTGCGACTGTTTATTTACCCGCTGTATAAATCATGGATTATAATCATATGTCAACTAAATATAAATTGGTAGTAAACAGATAAAAACTGCATTGATATAATTGATAATATAATATTTAATCACACTTAGTGTTTAGTCTAGTCTGTGGAGGGCCACATAAAAAGTTATGGCGGGCCGGATTTGGCCCCCGGGCCTTGAGTTTGACACATGTGCTCTACACTCTCTCAAAACTTTATTTCTGCACTCAAATCTATTCTGCACTTGCACAAACATTCTCTCTGCATGGATCTGATCTGCAATTACAGCAAGCAGAGCACAGAGGTGCTCTGCTTGCTAATGTTTTTTTGCTGTCACAAATCAAGGAGTTTTGTCACCTAGCAACCATTCTAGCCAATAGGATGACAGTGTTCCTCTGGGAAGAGAACCTGAGTGTGATTGTGTGGCTACAATATATAGTTGCATCTTAGGAATGATGCGGCTATATATGTAGGAATGTAGAAAAAAGAAATTTCACTTTCTACTCTGTTACAATTTTCAGAATTGCATCAAGGATTGATCTGTAAAGACAATAAACAGGGTGAAATATGCTTTTATTTATTTGGAGTATTTAACTTTTTGGGGTTTACATTCATCCAAGCGTTATCTCTTGAGCGTGATGTGTCTTCAACTCTGACATTCAATAGGGATAATGTCAGAGTATAACACAATAACATCTGGGTTTAATCAGAGTTCAATTAAAAGAACCAATCTGCAATTTTCTTAAAAGGCTTGCTGAAATTTGGAAAGACTGTGTTGCTATAGCAACAGCAACCTCTCAAATTAAAGCCTTCATGTAAAACATCACAGAGGGAACATAATAGGCAAGCAACAATTTCCTAATATTGGATGTCTGGTTTGTTCTTCCATTATTTCTGAGGCTGGTATGTAAAGCTGACAGCTCACACTGAGTGTGTGTGTTTGGCTCTCAGAAAACTGCAGCTGAGTCACAATGGATGCAGATGGAGGCATGCCTCTCCATACTACACTGCTCTCACTCTGACATGGTGGTGATGGTTGGGTGTAGGATCACAGACATTGGAATGAACAGGTGAATTTGTTCACAATTTCACTTATAATCTGATCAAATTATTTTATTTTGTGAAACATTACTGAGCTCATTTACATGCAGGGAAGCCCTTGTCAATGAAAGGAAAGTACAGTTTGCCCAACTCTGCCTCCAGCAGAAGCCCTGGACTAATCCATGTCCAGAGCTGCACAGGTGGCTAGCTTTTAATAGCTGGCTGGGCTAATGAGAGATATCATGCTAAGCTAACTTTACTGAGGTTCCCCT